GTATGAAGTGCAGAGTGTTGAGAATGGCGAAAAAAGGGCGTGGGGCTGGTGCTGTTTGCTATGCTGCGCCGCTCACACCTGGGAATCTTCAGTGGGTCTCCGCTGTTTCGACTGCGTACGTTGTATTTTCTTGTTTTGATATTTATCTTCGTTTTGATGTCACTATAATGTTCGAATATTTGTTTAACTTATGAAGCTCGAGAAGCCTGCTCCCAATTCATGAGGTGGCAAGTGAAGCAATAATGAGATTGATTAGAATGATTGTTTTTACTAAAGCTTTTTGTTTTTTTGTCTCATATTGTTTTCATTTGGCTAACTATAAATAAAAAAATTAGTGTAGGTTCTTGGTGTAGTACTTATGTTCCTCAACTGGCTAAGCTTGACTGTTGATCATTACAAAATTAGGCGCAATCAGCCAATCTGGTCACAATTTTAAGTTCCACCCGTGAGTTTGTCTTGATAATTATGTGCCCCGATAAGTTAATCATATTCTTTTTTTTTTTTTTTTTTTTTTTTTTTTTTTAAATATGACNTGCAGAGTCCTAATGCTAGCAAAGGGAACAGCTATCCACAAATCCTTCCTTGTTCCTTTGTTTGCACTACAAGCACCTGCAAGCATTCTCTCATGGATGAAGTATGTCGGACTTTTATACAAATAATCCATTGTTGTCATCTTTATTTTCCATTTTACTCTATTATATTTTTGCATATCTGCTGCTTGATGTTTTGCTATTGTGTTCTGAAGCTAATTAGTCTTTCAGGGGTGAGTATGGCATGTGGACTGCTTTCTTGGCCCTTCTAGTACGTCTCTTCTTCTTTATTCCAGGTGAGTTATCTTTCCCGAATATTTGTTATCTCACAAACTTTTTATGTCATAAGGATTACTAGAGAATTTGGTAGTACTTCATATTTATTTATACTTTAGAGTCCTTGAGCTGAGTAAGTGTATTTTTGAGTTTTCTTCTACCTTCTGATTGTTAGGTGCATTTATTTTTTTTCATATTTTGCCACTACTAAGACTAGGTTAACTTAATTCGAGTTATATCTGATCTTTCAGGGGAATTGGAGTTGCCGTTTATAACGTTACTGTTGGTGATTGTGTCTCCATATCAAATTATGAGGCTGAGGTTTTNAAATTCTTTGCAGATAGTTTACCATGTTCTTTATTTTACAAACAAAAACTATTCTTATATTCTCGACTTATTTTTTTCATGGCAGAGGAACACAAGAAGGTGTGATTCTTTCATTGGTAATAGCAGCTTATTTGGCTTTCCAGCATTTTACTAGAGCCGGCAGCTTGGGAAAAGCTTTCGACCAAGGTTCAATCATTGCTACCTTAGCCACCATCTGTATTGTTGCTGTACCGTGCTTGCTTCTGATCTAATTTCTGTGAACTATAGACTATCTGTAATTAATGACAATAAATTTTCTGTAAACAAGAATCAAAATTTATGCGGTATGCATTGCTCTCGTTTATATGGCAGATGAACTGCATTTATTTCAGGTGGTTTGAGTAAATCTTGATGATGAATGTTATATTTTTATCTTCTGATTATTGATAATGCCTGAATATATTACACGTCCTTTTCACTAACGTTTTTTTTTCCCCTAAGATTCTTGTATGAATTCACTTATTAACTTTAGAAAATACATCTATAATTCATAATGATCTAATACATGTCTGCTTGTGCCTCTTTTGTTTCCTACTCTTTCTGAAGACTGTAAGCATAGAATCAATAATCACTGCCCCCAAAATTTTCCATTGCCCTTTTAAGCTGCCGAACAATTGCTATCTCATTTTGGGAGATAGTAAACCAAATCTAATCCTTTGCATGTTTAGAAGTGGTAGTTAGCCATAGAAACTGACAGTAGAAGGCAGTTCAAGATGACGAGCTTGAATATGTCGAGAGAATTAATTCCGGCTGAATTAGGAGTGCCTGTTGGTTCAGACCCATAATTGTAGCCCGGTTCTGAACCGTAACCATTGCCTACTGGTGGATAAGGATTGATCGGCGTATTTATGCTGTTAATGAAATTAAAAGGTATTCGTTAATATTGAGATAATTACAAAAGGTGGCCCTTCGAAGTTTAATCAAACTGTGAAGCAAATCACAAATGTAATCCACAGGACTTTTGCATTTTCTTGAATAAGGTGCACTCACTTACTAAAGAACTCGATATCAGTGTAGTATGTGTTATTCAGAGATTTTTTTTTTTTTTTTTGTTAGAGTTCGCTTAAGGCTGTGTTTGGTAAACATATAAGCTAGCTTATAGCTTATTGGATTAGTTTATAAGTTTTATGTAATCAAATAAGCTTGGTTTGGTAGGACGAGTTTTTTTAATAAGCTCGAGGTTATCTCATAAGCTTCTTTTAAGTAGCTTTTCAAATAAGCTCATTGAAATTTTTATTTCAGCTCGTTTATCGCTAATTTTACCAAACACTTTTATCATATATGCTAGCTCTTCAGCCATAAGCTATAAGCTCTAAGCTCGAAATTCACTTAAAAGCTTTAAGCTAGCTTATCAGCTAGGTTTACCAAATAAAGCCTAAATGGTGTTTTACCTGGGAGGAGTCATTGGAATTGCTGGTGGTGGCATCGATCTAGGTGGAGACATTTGGGTCCCACTTGATGATGATGCATATCTACAGTTCCCATGGCCTGATATATCAATAAATAGTAAATTAGTAACTTTTACTTCATGATAGTGATTGAGATCTTCATTGACATACCCTAAAAGGAATATAGGGCAACTCTTCGGACAAAGACCAATCAGCTGATT